ACTTCTGATAGTTACATGTCTTTCCTTCCTCTAATCAAGCTTTCTCTATCCATTTCAGGCATCAAGTCTCATTACTATTTGTGTTTGCTACATTTCATAAACACATTGCCAAAACAATCCATTTAACTCTGATTGAACATTAGTAAGGAGGCATGTCATTCTAACTAAGATTTTAATTGAAAATTATTTTTCTACTTAAGTCTTTTATTTCTTAGAGTATTCAAAGATAAAATTTAGTGCTCTTTAATTGTTAACTCTAAAGTAAATGTTAACTCTCTCCCTGTGACTTTTTTGTTTCAGGGTTGTTAGAAATAGCATCTATATAGTCCAGGCTGACCTAGAATTCACATTCATCTGGGATTAATGAATTGTTCATAATAATATCAAAAGAAATTCCTGTGAGTTTCTCCCTTAATCCATTCTACGATAAATCTTATTTACTAAAAGGTTAGCTGTGTAGACAATATAGAATAAGCTGGTCTCTAAGCCTCAGTCTGCGGTATTCCAGCCTTCTGAGTACTAGGATTATAGGCAATTATAGAGGTGTGCTCCCACACCTAGCTTCTTTTTTATTTGTTTTTAAGACAGGTCTCTAGATGTAGCAGGGCTGGCTTTGAATTTAGTGCAGTACTGCTTAGGTCTCCCAAGTGCTAAGACTTCAGGCATGTACCACCTCACGAAACCCCCTAATTCTAATGCTGATTTTAAAACTACCCTCTCTGTTTTGTTCATTTACCCCTGAACTGATGTCATTGCAGTCCTTTACTAGAAATTAATTGGTTTTAATACAATACTGAACAAACTGATGTTATAGGTGGTAAATCTCACTTTCCCTGACATAAAAAGTTTACTAAAAATATAATAGAAGGCATAAACTACAAAATATAAAAATGTATCATTTACATGCATCAGTCTTTACACAGATAATTATTGCTTCACTACAAACTGCTGTAAGACTATGATATTAAAAGTAGAGTTATATTTGGTCTAATTTTTGCTGTGCTTATATGATTGTAACATATTTAATGTATATCTACTAGGTTTCCAAAATATTTTCATGGCCCACTCTTGTTTCTAGCTGCTTGCAACCTCAGAACTGATAGTTATATTGACATGGGATTTCTATGTTTTTACTGTTTTTCTTTCATTAAAATCAGTTTTAGTAGCTACTCCTTTAGAATTTGGAACCATTTTGAGTTTCCTGAAGAACACCAAGATGTTCTCAATATTAAGGAACATAAACAAAAAATATTTGCTATGTTTTAGGACATGCCTTCATTTCATATTTCCATCAATAATCACTGTTTATGTTACTATGAGAAACAAAAAGAATACCACTGCAAATTTGGCAAATTGCTATTTTTTTATCTTCTTCTGAAGTATCATACTTATACTGTATCTTCGGTTATGATGTGTACAGATGGAGAACTTGCCTGTGTAGAATTATTATTCAAAAATATCATATGATCTCTCTTTGGGAAATATCAAACCCCTCAATTTAGACATATTCATGACTACCCTTGGGACAAATCCAGCTGGTTTTGTTTGAAGTGGATAGTATTTTTAAAGAGAGATAAAAGAAACCATGAGCTAGATCTAAGTCCTAACTTTTGGGGGGCTGAAGCAGGAGGACCACAAGTTTAAGGACTGTTGGGTTATACAGTGAGTTCAAGGCCAGCTTAAGTAACTTATTGAGACCCTGTCTCAAAATTAAAAGACTAGGGATACAACCCAGTGTGAGAGCATTTGCTTAGCATGTACAAAGTCTTGGGTTCAGCCTCCAGTACCGGGGGTGGGGGATGGGGTAGAGTGGGGCAGGTGCTATCAGAACATCAAAACATGGATCAGCTAAAAGAGGACTGGCTACTCAAGCTTTAAGCCACTGAACTGTGGGACAACCATCTAACTTTGAATGGTGAACTGCTACAACTCCAAAGCATATGGAGTTTTAAAATGTGTTTAATCTATTGTGAGTACAGGTGTTTTGCATGCATGCATGTCTTTGTACCATGTATATGCCTAGTGCCCATGGGGGCTCTTCTGGATCCCCTAGAAAAAGACTTATAGACAGTTATGAGCCACCATGTGGTTTCTGGGAACCTAGCTCCAGTCCTCTGCAATAGCAACATGTGCTCTTAACCACTGAGCTATCTTTCTACTCCCACATTTGAATTTTTTTAAAACTTCACTCTGAATACAATGTAAGGGGTTCTTTTATCGTTAGTTATGTGTAATTTGTAAATTTCTTTGAGACAGAGTCTCACTATGTAGCCTTGGCTAGCCTGTAATTCACTGTATAAATGAGACTAACTCAAATCAGAAATCTACCTGTCTCTGCCTCCCAAATGGTAGGAGACACCACACCTGGCACAAATTTGCAAAATTCTGATGACTAAAATTGGAAAACTATTGTAATTAATACTCACTTTATAAATTTGTCTTTGGGGAAATCACCATTGCCCACTTTATTCTTCAAGAAATGTTCTATACCCAATACACTAGAAGCCCTTTGATTGCAAGAGCTTCTTGTGTATGTTATCCTTTGTGCTGTTTTATTTAGAATAGATGCCTACTGAGCTCAGCTGACCAAGGCTGAGTAAAAGCCAACTACATGAGAATAGCTGGAATGTTTAAGTTTGATACAGATTTAATTTTGAAACTTAAAACTATTATCACATTGTTCAAAAGATAACAGGCTCTTTCTCCTACTCTCAGTATTATGGGTAAGTTAAATTTTCCTTCAAGCGTGTTGCATAATGTGGCTCATATTTCTGCTAGTTTGGCATCTCTCAGTTGACTTCCATACATGGCCTACTGTTTAAAAACTGAAAAGGTCTGCCCAAGTAGAGTGGCACCCCTTATTACAACTGATGAGATGAGGCCTTAAACTCAGGAGAGGCAATCAACATACTTAGTACATTACCAGGGCAACAGCCAGTGTACCATAACATAATAGAAAAACAAGCACAGATAAGAATGTTGAGTATTTTTAAAGTGTTCTCTATACCCACTGTAACAGTGGTTAGGTACAAGCATAAATTATTCTAGACCAGGCAACATAAAAGTTTTAACTTCTCCAATCTGTTTCTCTGTGCCATATTCTTCATTGTTATTACTACACAGACAATCATAGTCAACTACTTTAGCAGCAAAAATAAAAAGTCCAAAGTTTGTTTCTGGCACAAGTGGCGTATCTATTATTTTTAGAAATTTAAGGAGATATAGGCATCAAATGAGTATTTCTGCCTCAATATTAGAGACACATGAATTTGAAATCAGTATGTCAGCATAAATGAAGACTTTTATTTTGAGACAGGATCTTACTCTACAAACTTGACTGGCCAGGTTAGGCTAGCCTCAAACCCAAAAAGCCTCCTGCCTGAGTGCTGGGATAAAAGGCATGCACCATCATACCCTGCAAGATTTTTTCTTTTTTCTTATTTTTAAAGAAAGCTCCCCTGAAAGATGATTTTCTAAACTGATGTGAATATTTACAGTTTTATCTATCAGGAATAACTATCAAAATCAAGCAATATGGTAAGTTATAAAATACAATTGTTAGTCAGGCATGATGGTGCATGCCTTTAATCCCAGTGCTTGAGGCCCATTATACAAATTAATATACTTCTATTCTAAGTGGGAAATCTCCAAGCCTTCCAAGGGCCATCAGTAAGAAATAGTTTGCCAAACTGAGGATCATGTATGTGGATTCACCTATGTTATGTCCTGGGAGGCCCAGCTGGAACAGCCAGGTGAATGATATCTCTCTTTACTATCCACCCTCACCATTCTCACCAGCTTCTAACTGAAACACAGGTCACCACAATCTTGTAAAGTCTGTATCCATCTGAAAAATAAAATCATATGTCAAGATTGGTAAATAACCAAGAGAGATGGCTGAGATTCCAGCATAACACTGGGAAGAAAGGCTAAAACTAAAACTCACAAGTATTCTTTTAACTCCAAAACAGATTACTGAGAGCTGGAGAGATGGCTCAGTGGTTAAGCGGACTAGCTGTTCTTCTAGAGGTCCTGAGTCAATTCCCAGCAACAACATGGTGGTTCTTAACATCTTTAATGAGATCTGGTGCCCTCTTCTAGAATGCAGGCATACATGCAGGCAGAATACTGTATAAATAATAATAAATCTTTTTTAAAAAGAGAAGTCACTACAAATGAACCTTAATCTGATGAAACCTATTTTTTACAGAATTATATACTATATATTTCTGTATACAAGGGACAGTGATATAATGAAAAAATAGACTATGTGAACTTCATAAGACAAAATTACCTTAAAAATATAAAAGGAGATGAATTTATAAATTAAGAAATAAGTTATCAACCAAACACAATTAAGGATCTTGTCCCTAACTCAAGGAAATTAACAGTTTATAAAACTCAAGAAGAGACAATGGAAGGAATCTGATAAGTTTAGATAGGTGATCACATTAGAAAATAAGTTTTTAAGTATTTTCAGGTTATTGTGACTATATTTTTAAAGACTAACCTTTTAAAGATACATATTAAAGAAGTCACAGGTAAAGTAACAGGTTAAGATTTGCTTCATAGTAATTGGGGATTGGGGAAGAAAACTGAGGCATAGGTAAAGGAAGAGTGGTCTTAAAGCAGAGCAGGGTAATGAAGGAAGGAAAGCCTGTTATACTATTACCCATATTTTAGAATATATTTGGAGCATTCCATAGTGAAATTTAAAACAACAAACACATATATATACACACACAAAGAGAACATTGCTAGGTGCCTCTGAATAATGCAATAAAATTCCAAATCTAGCTTCTAGCCCCATAACTAGATAACTATCTAGGAGTCCACCATAAACTGGCAAACACATTTGCCAAATCATCTTATATCATTAACCTAAATAGGACACTGAGTTGTCTGTTGCGTTACTTAGCAGATACCACTTAATGTCAGTTTGCTACCCAATTAAAATTTGTGTTTAAGAAAAGTTAAAATAATTTCTGAAGCTAACAGAATTTTAGTATTTGCAGAATTTATTCAGCATAATCATGGGGGCATCATCTTCATGCTATCACAAACAGACACAAACACAGATATAGCACAATATCCATATTTAGCCCAAGCACATTCCTTTTGAGGCTCATTTATATGTCTTCATATGCCACAGCCCATCATTTAAATAATGGATATTTTCAATGCCAATTCCTTTGTTGACTTTCTCACTGTAGAAGGAAAAATACATAAACATGTTTAGTGAATTTTATAGGCTTATTCATTCATGATAAACACAATCTAAAGTATCTTACTACCTCATAATCATTGAGGAAAATGTAGGACATTTGTTGCTATTACTGTCTACATTAACTCTGTGGCAGTTTGTGGGGTTTTGGAGTTTGGTTGGTCTGATTTTTCTTTATTTGGCTAATTTTTTTTTTTTTTTTGATAATACAGAATCAAACCCAGGGTCTCATGCACGCTACATAAGCACTCTACCACTAAGCCACATAACCACATTTAAAGTGATTGTAAAGGTGGGTGTGGTAGCACACACCTGTAATCTCAACACTGGAGAGATCAGGAATTCAGGGTCATCCTCAGCTTCATAGTGAGTTCAAGGGCAACCTGGGCTACAACAGACCCTGTCTCAAAAACTCAAAAAATTAGCCAAGCAGTGTTGGCAAATGTCATTAACTTCAGCACTGGAGAGGCAGAGGCAGGTGAATCTCTGTTGAGTTCAAGGACAGCCTGGTCTGCAAAGTGAATTCAAGGACAGCCAGGGCTGTACAGAGAAACCTTATTTCGAAAAACAAAAACAAAACCCCCAAAGTAAATACAAATACTGATTTTAGCTGTCTAGCTGGCAATCAGAATGATACCAACAGAACAGACAAATATCAACATATTAAATCTCAAACAAAATTAATAGAATTTTGGTTGTATTATGTTGGAAACATGCCACATTTCTTCCATCACCAGACCAGAATGTAAAATAGTATATAGTGCTATGCCATTATTTGTTTTTGAGACAGTCTCACTTTGCAGTCCCAGGTAGCTTCAAAACTCATAATCCCACTGCCTCTCCCTCCCAAGTGCTCATACTGTGCTTTTATACCCAGCTATATGTGTGTTTTAAAAACTAGCAATAAGATACACACCCTCCTCTGAAAGCCTCTGCAGTATAGACTGTCAAAGCAGATGCTGAGCCTGATGGCCAACTGATGGGCAGAGTGAATGGAATTTTATATAAGAAGTGGGAAATAGTAAGAGGTGGAGGGGATGGGAACTCCACAAGCAGAGCAACAGAACAAGATAATTTGAACACAGGGAACTTCCCAGAGACTCATACTCCAACCAAGGACTATTCGTGGAGATAACCTAGAACCCCTGCACAGATGTAGCCCATGGCAGTTCAGTGTCCAAGTGGGTTACATAGTAATGGGAAGAGGGACTGCCTCTGACATAATCTGATTGGCCTGCTCGTTGATTACCTCCTCCTGAGGGGGGAGCAGCCTTACCAGGCCACAGTAGAGGACAATGCAGCCACTTTTGATGAGAACTGATAGACTAAGATCAGAAAGGAGAGGAGAACCTCCCCTATCAGTGGACTTGGGGAGTGGCATGCATGCAGAAAGGGGAGGGAGGGTGGGATCGGGAGGGGAGGAGGGAGTGGCTTATGGGGGATACAAAATAAATAGAGTGTAATTAATAAAAAATTTAAAAAAAGATACACACCCTCTATCACCAATTTAAATCTAGATAGCAAAGAGAAAAATCCTAAAGTGCCACATACATAGGTATAAAGCACCTGTTTTAGCATATGTTTCATTTAAAAATGCTTAAGAATATAACCCTGAAGACAAAATGGGTTGTAAGGGCTTCCCATGTGTTAGGAAAAATAAGAAGTGAGTTACTTTGCTTAGGTATTTATAAGACATGGTATGAATGACATCGAACTTCAATTGTAATTGATGCTTCCTGAGCTGTCTCTAATATTTCAGTTAAGAGAGACTAAAGTGAAACTTACATATCTTCTGCAGACATCTTCATGACACCAACACATAAAGCATGCTGCTTTCCTTCTGCCATGATTGCCTGAAAACAAGCTAAGAAAACTATTCCTCAATTTGGTGAAGGGAAGTGTGAGAAACAATGATCATTTTGCATTTAAACCCATCTTTTGTGCTCTCTTTTACCACTGACTCCTTAGGTGCAGGAACTTACACGTCTGTGGATACAATGTAAATATTCAATAAATCCTAAATAAATCAATCACTACTTTCAAGACAAATATCAGGATTGCACCTTCATATGTACCAAACCAGGAAGTCAGGCAAAAAGAAGATAAAACTTATGGGAGATAAATACTAAAATCTGTGAAATATATAGCAATTATTTTAGTTATTTCTACCACCAAATGGTGGCCTTATATAAATAATACATATGATAATAATTATATTCCCATCTGGGCAAGGTCTAAGCTGATAATCATCACACGCAGAAAGTTAGGGAAGGAAAACCATAAATTTTAGGAGAGCCTGAGCTACACAGCTAGCTAGCTTAAGGCCAGCTCTATGTTATGTAACAAGACATTGTCTCAAAAAATGCAATATTTCCATTTTGCTTTGACGAGCCCCTCCTAACAGTTTTAGCCTTTATAAAGTTTAAACAATAAACTTCATTTGAAACTTCTATGTTTAATGCTGCAGCATTTGTGTTGTTTTTTAAGTTAAAATACACACAGAATCTCTACATTTTTTCACAATTCCTATAAATCTATTTCAAATGAGTGAAACCACATTTCCAAAAGGGGGCTGGAGGGGGGGGGTTATGCTAAAGTTTAGGTACTAAGAAAATATTCCAGTCAAGAAAAACTGCAAAACTAAAAACATAAGACTGTTTAAATCTATAAACGTAAAAAGGTAACCTTGTCTTCACAGAATGCTTCTCACGATTGGCTTTCCAAGAATCCTTTCAGTGTAGGGCAAATATTTGAGCACCTAGTACGTGACTAGAATCTTTGTCAATGCAGTGTGTGTCTAACAAATACAACTTATTCTATCCTTTAGCTATAAATGCCACAAAAGGAGAAAGCCTTCTTTTGAGCACAAGGCATAATTTTTTTTTTTTGGCAATGTCACACTATGTGGCTCAGGTTGATCTGGTACTATATTAACCTGGATGGTCTCAAATTAAAAGATCCTCCTGTGTGCTGGGACTATAAAGCATGTACCCATCACTACATTATGGTATTTTTGTTGTTGACTACATAATCCAGGCTGGCCTCAAACTAATGACAGTCTTCCTGCCTCGGCCTTCTAAGTGCTGGGATTACAGGCATAAGCCACCACATCCAGTTAAGACATATCTTCAAACACATTCCAATGGTGTTTTTATCTCATAGTGATTTCCTGGTTCCCACCAAATACTATTTCTTTTCTCAACCTGAAGCAAATGACCACTCTGTCTATAACAAAGCAAAAGATGGACTCCTGTCTCAGTGGACAAAAATCTATTTAATAGAAAACATAGATGAAATATTGCTGCAGAACCACTTAGTCCTATTCATGGCATAAATATACCCTTTATATTGTATGGAGCAGGGGTCTCATGGTACACCTCTGTAATATAAGCACCTGGGAGGCTAGGGCAGGATTGTGAATTGAAAACCAGTCTGGATCCTGAAGGGGGGTGTTGGGGAAGGGCACACATCTGTAATGCAGCAGTTGGAAAGTAAAGGAAAGAAGATCAAGAGTTCCAGGCCAGCCTGAGCTACATGAGGCCCTGTCTTAAAAACAAACAAGTAAAAAACTGAGTTTCCTCGCTAGCAATCCTTAGACAAAGCACATAGTAGGCATCATTAACTGTGATCATGGCTTAAAAAACCAGCATGGCTGAATGTGGTGGCGCACGCCTTTACTTCCAATGCTTAGGAGGCAAAGGCAAGGTCTCTGGATTTGAGGGCTCCCTGGTCTACATAGATAGCAACTTCTATGCCAGCCCTGTGAAACCCTGTCTCAAAAAAAAAAAATAAATAAAAATAAAAAGCCCAACATAACAAGATGTGCTTTACATGAAGACTGTTCCCTTGATTTGAAACTGTCTGTCACTAGTTCTTCTATTTCTGCTTTGTTTGTTTTTGAGGCAAAGTCTCATGTAGTGGCCTTGAACTCATGGCACTTATTCTATCTCAGCTTCGCAGGTGGGAATACAGGTATATACCACTACTTACAGCTCCTTGTGCCTTTCTTTAAAAGTGTTAAATGGGTTATACTGTTTTCGCTCCTGTGGTCATTTCTCAAATAGGTCTCACTTGTTCCTTCTTGTTTGAAGCTACATTGCTGTGTCTCTAAATGCATTTATTTGATCTATTACATTCATTAGTATCTGATACCTTTTCTACTGATGTCTGTCGTCACACAAACTAAGATAATCAACCTAGGGGTCACAGAGTCCTTCCAACATAGTGAATTTTAAATATAGTGAGCTGTATTTAAAAACTCATCCCTAGCTGGGAGTAATGGCACACACCTTTAATCCCAGCACTTGGGAGGCAGAGGCAGGTGAAGCTCTGTGAGGTAGGCCTGGTTCCTATATGAGTTGCAGGACAATCAGGACTATGTAAAAGAGACCATGTCTCAAAACCAACATATCCTAGCCAGGCATGGTGGCTCATGCTTGTGATCCAATATTTGAGAGCTGGTATAGGCAGATCACCAAGAATTCAAGACTAGACAGTTTCTCAGAAAGTTCTATTTAAATATTTTCAAGTTGGATATACTAAAACTCTTAAGACATTTTCTATGTATGCATGGTGTCCATGCATACATGTGTATATATGTGTGTTTGAGAGTCAGGAGTGCTCACCTTTAATCCCAGTACATGGGAAGCTGAACTAGGAGGCTAGCTTGTACTGTTTATCAAGACTATCTTCAAAAATAAAAATAAACAATTTCTCTTAGAGAAAATATGCTCTCAGGTCCAAATCACCACAAAAAAGTGAATTTTAGGCTGGGTATAGTAATGCATACTTGTAAGTCCGGCACTGGGAGGCTGAGACAGGCAGATTCAAGGCCTTTCTCTTTGGCCACCTAGTGAGTTCCAGGCTAGATAGCACAAGACACAAATACACATACCCCATACACACAAAAAAAAAATGATTTTTTTGTTCTGTTTGTTTTGAGACAGAGATTTTCTGCATAGCCCTGGCGGAACTCTTAAAGATCCACCTGCCTGTGCCTCAGGAGTGCTGGGATTAAAGACATGAACCATTACCACTTAGACAGTAAAAGTGAATTTGTAAAATAAATGTTAAGGACTTCTGGTATTTCTAATACAGAGTTGTTTTGCTTGAGATATGAGCAACTACACCTTCTATCTCATTTCAGTTCCCCCTTGAATGCTTTTACTCCATAGTATCTGGATAATCAAACTAAACATTAAAGTGGCAAGTTCATGTGCAAAAGAAGGTCCACTGATATCACTTATAGCCTATTCATAATCAAGTTTCAGACTGCTTCCTGAGTCTCATGCGAGGTGGTAAGGAGGCTAGATAGATAGATAGATAGATAGATAGATAGATAGATAGATAGGAAATTCTTAATTAACTTTCAACCAGCTAGTGTGAATGTATCTATGTAAAATAAAGCATAATGTATCATCAACAAATAAAAAGGGAGGGTAGGATGGTTCAGAAGGTGCCTAGATGCAGGACTGATGACCTAAATTCTACCCCAAGAACATAGAGTAGAAAGAATTGACTCCTAAAGTTGCCCTTTTGCCTAAACACACACATACAAATTAAAAAAGGAGTAAGGCATGGTAGTATATTCCAGTAATCCCACGACCCATGAATTAGGAGTTTAAGACTAGTTCAAGGCCCGCTTAGGATAGATAAGACTGTGAAAGGGGTAGGGGGAGAAAGAAAAGTTAGGAACTGGGAATAATGGTAAACACATGTAATCCCTGTACTCGAAAGGCAAAGACAGGACTGTAGAGAAGACAAGGATAGTCTAGGCCACAGAGTAAAATCTAAACCATCCAGGTTTATATAATAGTGAGATCCTATTTCAAAAAAAACAAAAAAAAAAAAAAAAAAAAACAACAACAATAGCTAGGTATTATGGCATATACCTTTACACCCAGCATTCAGGAGGCAGAGGCAGGCTAAACTTTGTAAGTTTGAGACCAGCCTGATCCACATCTTCCTCTATGCCAGCCAAGGCTACATAATGGCTCTGTCTCAGAAAAACAAACAGAAGCCAGGTATGGTGGCACACCCCTTGATTGCAAAGTTCGGGAGGCAGAGGCAGATGGATCTCTGTGAGTTCAAGGCCAGCCTGGTCTACAAATCGAGTTCAGGACAGCTAAGGCTATACAGAAAAATGCTGTCTTGAAAAAAACAAAAAAACAAAAAAAGAAAAAGAAAAAAGAAAGACCAACCAACAGAGAATGTGACTATGATTACATTACATTGTATAGGTGTGTAAAAATGTAAAAAACTTATTTTAAAAAATACTTTGTCTTATTTTTCTTCTTGTATGTATCAAACCTCATACTGAACAATAATTTCTGGTTTGCAAAAGAGGATTTATTTTTGTACCTGTCCAACCTGCCTTTGTCCACAACCTGAATGAAAACAAGTCCTAGGAAAAAAAAAAAGATTTAAAAAGGAGAGCCAGGCATGGTGGTACATGCCTATAATTACAAAACTCAGAAAATTAGTTCTAGAGCACCCTTGGCTACAAGTATGATGCCACCCTCAGCTACAGGAGACATTTAAAAACAAAGAAAAGAAAGAAAAAGGTTTCTTGATTCCAAGTTATCTTTCACTTCTTTTCATGGCCAAGAAAGAATATGTCTCCTTTAGTCCAGCATGGTGGGACACACCAATAATTTCAACATTCAGGAAGGAGAAGTAGGAGAATTGCCATTAATCTAAGACCAATTTTGGATGCATGGTGAGCTCTAAACTGGCCTGGACTACACATTGAGTTTGAGGCCAGCCAAGACTATATAATAAGACCCTGTCATTTATAGATAGATAGATAGATAGATAGATAGATAGATAGATAGATAGATAGATAGATAGATAGGCAGGCACATAAATAAAGGCTGATTGATTTGAGTTTATCTCTCATTTCTCTTTGGCCAAAATTAAAAGCTCCCTTCAACAGAGTATGGTAACACATGACTGTAATCCCAGCACTCGAGAGACTAAGGCACCAGAATCACAAGTTCAAGGCTAGCCTTGGCTCCAGAGTGAGATGCATGTCTCTGGAAAAAATAATAACAGAAGTTAAAAGCACATCTTATATTCTCTTGGATGATAGATGTTTCAGTAACTGTAAGAACACAATGAACAGTTTTCAGCACTTCCCTGGAAAGGATACAACAATAGTATCTACTGCAGCAGGGTAAAGCTTCGCTCCAGGAGAAGTTAAGCCAGGACACATGATATTTGCTCCACTGAGTACAAATTTGATGGCTCCTTTATCAACCTGCTGATGTGGCAAGATAAAAGGATCTATAAGAGAAAAAATAAACTATATAAATTAGGATGATTGGTGATGCAACATAAAGGCAAAGAACATAGACAACTATTTTCCAAATTTACAGTACTCTGATGGTTGCAAAATAAAGGCCAAACCACTCTTCTTTATTGACAAAATGGATAAACATTTTCAAGGGAAGAGTGTAGAAATACATATTCTCATAGACTGCTACAAGGCTTGCATAAGCTTCCTTTAGGACAACTTAGCAGCATGCATTGAAAGCCTTGAAAAGAGATTCATTCTTTGACCCAGCAACTCTGCTTCTATGAGTCTGTCCTAAAGAAAATGCATATGCAGTATATGGGGTAGAAAGATATTTGTTCCTGCACTAACATATGAAACAAAAATAAACTGAGATGCATCACAATTTCTAACAAATGAGATAAGATATAAACAACTTAAGGTATGTTGACAAGTGTATATAATATAAGTCTAATAAACCATTCTTTTAGAGAATACATAATACCTGGAAAATGTTCACAATATAACATTTGAATGGAAAATGCAGAAATAAAATACTCTCAAAAAGATGAGTGGTTGCTAGGTGAAGGAAGAAGGATGAACAGGCAGACTACCATGTATATTCAAAGCAGAACATTTATTCTGTATGATACTGAATAGTAGCTACTTGACATTTGGTGTCAGGCAAAGCCTGTAGAATTGTATAAAAGGAACTTTTATGACCAATAATATTATCAGTAGTAGTTTACTAATTGGAAGTACCTATAATTTATCTTAGAGAAAACTAAGTAGCGACAGACCAATTATAAAAGAACAAAAATGGTTGTGCTCAACAGTGTAGTGATATATACATAGCATGCACAGGTTCCTGGGTCTACTCTCTAGCACAAACTGAAAGTGTTTGCATACAACACAGGATATAAGTGGATGAGAATATGCCAATGCACTAAATATACTGAACTATGAATACAGGAATACATGTGCTCATTAGTTTCTATTCCTGTGATTACCAGATTTATGTTGCATAAGTTCTTTTTGTAATCTTTAAAGAAAGTATCTCTGTGTATACCCCAATAACTTATAGATGGGTGTGGTGGCACATGTCTTTAATCCTAGCCCTTATGAGGCAGAGGCAGGTGGATCTCTGTGAGTTCGAGGTCAACCTGGTCTACAGAAGGAGTTCCAGGGCTACAGAGACACCTGGTCTTGAAAAAACAAACAAACAAAAAACTAAACTTATAAACAATTAAAGAATTTCTTGAGTTTTTAATAGGATGACTAGAGGAGTTTTAGTTGCTTTTTTTTTTCTTAGATTTAGCTAGAAGATTATGTATATGGGTGTTTTGTCAGCATGTATGCACACCAGAAGAGGGCATTGGATCCTATGGGACTACAGTCAAATGAGATTACACTCAGAGACACTTGTAAGCCACCATGTAGATGCTGTGAATCAAACTCAGGTCCTCTGGAAGAGCAGCCACTGTTTTTAATTGCTGAGCCATCTCTCCAGTGCCTAAAGGAGTTTTTAAGCTTCTCTAGGGTCCCTAAAAATAAGGATAGTAGCCAGGTATGGTAACACAACTTTATAATCCGAGCACCTGGGAGGTGCAAGCAGGAGAATTAGAAGTACAAAACCAGCCTTGGTTACCTAATGTTTGTCTAAAACAACAACAACAATAACAATAACAAAAACTATTTCCATTGCATCAGGATTTAATTTCTATCGGGTCTTAATCGGAAAAAAAAATCACATTGAGTAACTATAATTAGTTTTATAAATATTAAAATATTTCACCTGTTTAAAAATTTCCCTAGCAGTTTTGCTACTCCTGACATCTGAAACACCAAGCAATTAGATGGAAGGGGAGGAGGACCTCCCCTATCAGTGGACTGGGAAAGAGGCAGGGAGATGAGGAAGGGAAGGTGGGGTTGGGAGGGTTGGGGGTCTACAACTGGGATACAAAGTGAATACATTGTAACAAATAAAATTTAAAAAGTTTAAAATTAGAAAACAAAGTATCTCCTTAGCCAGTCACAGTGGCACATGCCTGTAATCCCAGCACTCTGGGAGGCAGAGGCAGACGGATCCAGAGCTCTGTGAGTTCGAGGCCAGTATGGTCTACAAACCCAGTCCAGGTCAGCAAAGGCTATACAGAGAAACCCTGTATCGAAACAAAACAAAACAAAAAAAATGTACCTCCCTGTGATTGAATGAATTTGATTTTTACAAGGATATAAATTCATTCAATCATCACTACCCATCATCAGTAGAGCCTATAAGTCAGTACCTTTCCTTCTGCTTCTTGGCAGCAATACCAAACTGAAAAGCAAAAGTTTATTTCCCATTTGAAAAGCTCTTGCTGATTGAAACCATTGTCTATTGCTACAATTCTTTGTAATATAATTAATTTACAGGGAATGGGCATAGGGGGAGAAGAGGGAGAGTGGGTGGAACTGAGGGGAGAAGAGGGAGGGTGGGTAAGATTGGGAGGAGATAAGGGAGGGGGTTGCAGCGGGGATACAAAGTGAATAATTTGTAATAAATAAAATTAAACTTAAAAATATATAATCAATTTAACAATCTATAAATGTATGTATAAAATAAACACTTAGTTTCCTGACATCTGTCTGTGTACTCAATTAGTAATAAATAGGACTTCCATATTTATAATTTCCAATGCAGAGATAATTACAGAATTATCTCTATTAGGGAACTCTAGTAATAAACTTAAAACATACCAATCCATTCTTCCAAATACAATAAGGACAAGCGATTATGTCTGTACTTGCTTACAATTACACTTCTTAGTAACTAGCTCAATACCCACCACAAAGAGTTCACTAAATAATTGAATTCACTAAATAATTGAATTAATATTTCTGAGCTCTTTGTTTGGGGACAAGACTGGCATAAAAATTGTGTCAGTCTCTTGTCTCAGCTTCCCAAGCTCTGTGCTTACATCTGTGAGCTACCATACCAGGCTTTTACTGAATGGATGAACTAAGGAATGTTTCTTTGAAAAATTTGCATTTTTCAGACTTACCACAAGATGGGGATCCACTTTTATATTCCTTATTACTTGGCACTAATAAATAAACTATCATAAGTCACTTTCCATTCCTATAATTCTCAACTCCTTTTGTGTATTTTTATATTCCGAAATGCATATTTTTAACAACTTACATTTATGAAGTAATCTTAACGTTGGATAAAAAGGCCCTTCTCTCTGTCTAAAAAACAGTAATTCTCCATTTACTGTAAGGATTTCTATATGTTCATGGCTGTAAGACAAATGTCACAAAGAACCAAGTTAGATAATTTTTTCAAAAATGACTGTAAGTCAAACACCCTATAAAATTATAATATGAAATATTCATATATAAAGACACATTAAGTTTATTTTTTCAGTAAAGATACTGACCAAAAAATACCCGTCCAGTAGAGAAAAAGAGAAAATATGACCTGCTACAGCCAATTTCAATTCCACATTTTATTATTGCAATTCTACTGTCAAGAAATAAAATAATCCCTCAAGAGCAAACTGAAATAAATCCAATTATAAATTAAAAACAAGTTTTTGATAAAACAATACACAAAGCCACATTTTTATAGATGTGGATAAGATTTGAAAATAAGAGTATATTGACAAGTTTTAGAGTTAATTCTATCTAGTCTCATCATTAGTTTATTGATAGCTAATGTGGAAATAATCCCATTTGGAATGAGGACAATCTACCCTTTGATATTCAGCTACGCTAATCTTTACATGGAGAAAAACAAGGACTTACCATCGGACAATTTTCACAGGATCTTTCTTAGGCATGATTTGATTAAGCCATGGTTCAATACCTGGAAATTGCTCTATCAATTGATTTTTAATACCCTTAATAACCGAGGTTTTCAACTGGATGCAGTTGGACACATTTTCTTTTTCATCAAATCTGGCAAATGATTTTTTTCCACGGAAAGAAAAAAAGGGCATTGCTAAGCAAAAGAATCAGAAAAATCTAAAAGTTTCTAATTAATCATCTATTACCAAACAAGCACTCATGCTTCAAATAATTATGAAAAAATTGCTTTTAAAATACCAATTTCCATTTGTCTTATACAGTATCAAACCAACGTTTTAAGACAGTATTAGAATACGCTGGCATGCATGCTGAAGTTAATGGAGGCAAAGCGATTGTTATGCTGGAATCCATTATCAGCTACACAAATGTCTTTTTAAAATCATTTTTTTTTTTAATCTAAATGAAACCTCACTCATTAAAACACAAAAGGCCAAACCAAGCACAACAAAAGAATGAGCCCAGGCAGGTTACGTAGTCTGCTGAGTTTTTTTTTTTTTTTAAGAAATAATAGTAATAATATTAAGATCCCTATCCAGATTTGCTCAATTAATTTTTCATGCACAAAACCCACCTTCCTTTGCCCATGTTCCCCCTTTGCCTTTTGCATCTATCAAATCTGGAAGATAAACCCACTGAATAGGTTTCCAAGGAATTTTGTCTTCCTTACACTGACTAGCACACAGGGCTATCACGTTGTTTCAAAGACAACGTTAATCAGGCAGCTATGTAATAAGCTTGACAGGCCGGCGGCTTGCTTCCTGTCACGCAGACTCTTTCACTGCCACGACCCAGGAAGTCAAGCCTTCCCTTTTTCAGTTCATAACTAATAAACAGAATGGAGGGCTCTCCTCTCAGCTAAGGAGGTTGCGCCCCTAAATCACAGTGCAAGTATGTGATTGGTAGAAGCCTAGGAATGGAGATAGCACAGCAGGAGGGTGCAGAACAGAGCTAAGGAGAAAGAAAATGGGAGCGGAGGGCCAAACCCCGATTGAGCATTAAGGATGGAAAGCTTAAAGAAGTGTCCAAGTCCGGAGTGAGCATAGTACTATATTAAAAAAAAAAAAATCAGGATGATGGCAGGGGAGAGAGAGAGAAAGAGGACCTTTGCTCTCACCCTCTTCCCTACATCAACCCCACCGCCTTTGTGAGCAGCCGATGGAGGCTACTGCGTGTCCTTACTTCTTAAACATGATCCAAGGTGAAGGGGGCGACGATAAGGAACGGCCCGGAATAGGAAGGAAATTGAATTAGTAAGGGCCCGACACGAGGCAGGCCGGCACTGACAGTCGGAGCTGCTGTCGTTATCCGGAAGGTGAAAGCACTACCCGCTTTACGGCCCTTGGTGAACTCTGACTACTTCCGCTCCTCTCAACTCCACGTTGACGCTTTTGTCGGCACCTTTTGAGTAACAGCTTACTCTCCATTGGTGGTAGCCAAAAGGGCGGGACTTCAGAAGGAAAAAGTGTTCCAGCAGTTTTTCCTGGTTGCTCGAAGAGAAGAATGGAGGAGGAAGGGAATCAATTAAAGCAGCAATTGTGACAGTTGAGTCAGTTACGGGTTCTTCAAAGTGTCAAGATTGTTCGGTCGTTGTTGCCACCTACTACTGTAACAAATTGTTACGAGAATAGTTTTCTGAGGCAACCGAGTGAATTGGTGCTTATCAAACAGCATGAACCTAGGCGAGCCGCATAGCTCCGTGATAAAATAATGACAAAAGTTGTCAGGTTCAGCAAATACAATTACAAGACATCTAGTTAAATTTGAATTCCAAATAAAGTGAACACCTTTTAGTGCAAGTATACTTGGTCTATGTTTTGAGCTTGCTTATGCTAAGAACTTACTTGTTTATCTGAATTTAATTGAACAATCTATTTCTTATCTGGTATTCCTAATCATTGGACATTGAACTGGTCTCATAGAATTATTAAATAAGTCATCGGGTTGTTCTCCCTGCTTCACTGTGACACTAATTAAAAGCTTAACTATAAATCAAGAGTGTAATGGGACATGGCATCACAAACCTTTAATAACAGCACTGGGGTGGGAGTTGGGGGACGGAACAAGCAGATCTCTGAGTTTGAGGCCAGCCTGGTCAACAGAGCTAGTTCCAGGATAGCTGGGACTATACAGAGAAACCCTGTCTCAAAAACAAAAACAAACAAAGTTGAATTTCCTGGCAGGCATGACAAATCATGCCCATAATCACACCACTTGAATGGTTGGAGAATACTTGAGACCCTATCTCAAAAAGAAAATAAACAAAAAATGCAAAACTAAGGTAATTTCCTTAAAGAATAAAAAGACCACTGGGCCAGTAATAATAGTCATAATCTAAACGAAGACATAAAGAAATATATTTTGTTTGTGTGATTTGTTTTTGAGACAAGGTTTTACCATCTATCCCTAGGTGGCCTGGAACTTGTTATGTTGATCAGGCTGGCCTCAGATTCAGATATTCACCTGCCTCTGCCTTTCTAATACTGGGATTAAAGGTGTGTGCCACCACACTCAGCTTTGTATAACTTTTTAAACAATTTTTTTTTAGAAAACAAATTATTCTTTTTATTGGTTTTTAATCTGAAAGATTACAAAAAGGAGCATTGAGGGTCAGGGCTGCAAATAAAGCCTCGACAGGCACTACTCAATATGTGAGACACAGAAACACTACATTTATAAAGCAAACACAGCAATCTCTCTAGGGGTCAAATATTCTAGTCCTCAATGGGGATATGAACCTTTAAAATTTTCCAAACAAATGTACCATTTACATTGCTCAATTGTTTGTGAATAATTGGTGCTTACCATACCTCGTCTTGATTCTGTAGCATCAACAATCTTCATTTAATAATTTGATATTTTCAAATCAAATCTGCATGAAAAATTATGTTTTTCTTTATAAATTAATAATATGGTATTCTGGTTTACACATCATTCTTTTGTGAACATCCTTAGCATGTATCTGTGTTACTAACATCAATCAGCAGTGAAGCATTTGAAATATTGAGTTTATCAGCATGCAAAACTGAAGCTAAGAGCCTGGCACGGTGTCCCCTAGCAAAGCATGGAAGTTGAGGCAGGAAGGTGGAGCTTTCTGTGGCAACTTGGTTACAAAATGAAACTGTCTCAAAAAAAAAAAAAATGAAGTTAATGAGCTTCTTACCAAGGATTATACCTCTCCTAGCAATTCTCACACTACTCCTGTAGTCTACCATTGAACAAGTACATTATAAACAGCCATTACTAAGTTTAATGTTAGTGAAAATAGACAATTTATATTAGAACTTATACATATGTTCTTTGGCTTAAGATGGGTTTGCCAACCCGTAAATCCACTCTATAAGGTGAAAATATTAAATGAAAGCGTGTTTACTACACTTACCCTAACAAGCAGCATAACATAGCAACATAGAACACTGTAAAGAGAAACTAGGTTCTTTCCCTTCATTTTCACTGACTGAAAGACATGGGCTTTACTGTCGCTGCCCAACCTAGCAAAACAATACACTGCATATTACTAACCTAAGAAAAGAACAAAAATTTTTTTCTACTAAATGCGTATTATTTTTGCATTCACCCATCAAACCATCAGGGTAGTTTGTATATGGCAAAATTGTGTGTAATAAGTATATATTCTACAAGTAAATCAGAGTCCAATTCATTGGACAAAGAAATATTTTGTTGTTTTTCGAGACAAGGTTTCTCTGTGTAGCCCTGGCTGTACTGCTACTCGCTGTGTAGACCAGACTGACTTCAAACTCAGGGATCTCTGCCTCCCAAGTGCTAAGATTACAAGTGTGCACCACCACGCCTGGATTGAACAACGAAAGTAATAAATCAGCCAAGTGTGGGGGCACATGCCTCTAATCCCAGCACTTGGGAGGCAGAGAGAAGCAGATCCCTGAGTTCAAGGCTGGCCTGGTCTACAAAGTGAGTACTAGGACAGCCAGGGCTTCACAGAAAAAAACCTGTATTGAAAAAGAAACAAAAACAAAACAAAACTCATATCTTGAAATTTCTTTGAAAATGTACTAATGGAGCTGGAGAAATGTTTCCCCAGTAAAGAGTACTGGCTGATTTCCCAGAGGACCTGGATTTGATTCCCAGAACCCACATAGCAGCTTACAACCATCTATAACTCCAGTCCTTGGTGCTCCAGTGTACCATTCTGTCCTCTGTGAGCACCAGGCATGCATGCAGACAAAACACCTATACACATAAGAAAATAAAATAATTTAAAACTACTAATTTTACTTATTCAAAAGTATTATGCCAAAAATTCATATTACTAGAAACAATAACTTTCTTTTCCTCATGAAGTCAATTTCTTAGTAGCATGCATTCCTAGTACTTACGTGATGGAATTTGGGGGGGGGGGGCTTTTGGTTTGGGGACTTTTTGTATGTTACTAGTGGTGGTACTGGGAATGGACCCAAGGCAGAGTGCATGCTAGGAAAGCACTCCACTACTAAGCTACATTCTCATTCCTTTTTTCCTGTTTTTTAAATTTTGAGATAGAGTCTCACTAAGTTGCCCAGGGTAGCGTTGAACTTGAGATCTTTCTCTCTCAACTTCCTGAGTATCTGGGATTATATGTCTATGCTATCAGATTGGGTTTGGTAGCTGTTGCTTGGTTGCTTATAATTTTTGTTTTTCTTTTGTGTTGTTGTTTTTGTTTGAGGCACATCCTTACTCCATAGGCTGACCTGGAATTCTGTAAGCTCAGGTTGACCCCAAACATGACACTCCTCCTGCTCAGCCTCCTAAGTAAACAGTCATCAACCACCACACAATTCAGTGGCACAGCAATACCTAGTATGTGTCATGCATGCACAACACACACACACACGCAGACACACACAGAAACACACAGACTCTGTCAATAGTTACCAAAGTGGACTTGAAAGTTTTGTTTCTTTGTTTGTTCTGTCCTTGCCCCCTCTGTCTGGGATGAATAGGGCTTTCTGCATATGATCCCAGAAAATAAAAATAACAAAACATTGTTATATATAGTATAATAATGAAGTGAATTCTACTTCTCCAAGATTATGTTTTGGAGTTTGCTCCTGAGAAAGAACTTACCTTTAGTAAAATTTACCTATTTTAGGTGTGGGTGTGCCTATGAGCACACCACAGGGCACATGTGGGTAGAAGGTAGCCTGTAGGAGTCATAGCTCCCCTTCTACCATTGGGACCTAGGAATCAAACTCATTTGGTCAGACTTAGTATAAGCATCTTTATCTGACACATAATCTTGAAGAAGTTTTATTATCTTTTTGATAATTAAAAATTTCAAAATTAAAAATTGAGGTAGGTAGTGGTGGCACATACCTTTAATCCTAGTACTCAGAAGGCAGAGACAGGTGGATCTCTGAGTTCAAGGACAGCCTATTCTATGGAGTGAGTTTCAGTACATACAGGGCTACACACACACACACACACACACACAAAAAAAAAAAAAAAAAAAAAAAAAACCTGTCTTGGAAAAGAAAAAGTTGAAGTAATGATGACTCACCCTTAAGCTCAACACTTGAGAGGTAGAAAGAAAAGAATCAGAAGTCTAAGGCCAGTCTAAGAAATATGAGACTGTCTCAAAAATACAAAAAGGAAAACTAAAAATGAACTTTCAGCCCAGATTGGGTAGTATAGGCCTGTAATCCCTGCACTCAAGAGGGTGAAGCCTTTCACTTTCAAGGCCAATCTAGGCAGTATAGTGAGGATATCTTAACCAAAACAAACAAACAAAAAATTGATCCTGAA